GGGGGACCTGTTTTGGTTTTTCACTACTATTTAACTGAGGGTTTTGACGTGTTCCTCCTGGGCAGGAAAACTCACCAACCCCCAGCCAATAAACCCAGGCAAAGCGGGACGCACCCCCGTTCCTCAACACCCCTGGGCCGGCAGCACCCCATTCCCTCGCACTGTCCATTCCCCCATGCCCCCCGGCTCTAAGGACAGCAGGGCCAGTCCTGGGGCCCTGTCCCCAAACCCCCTTCAGCCCCTGCTCCCAGCACCCAAAGGTGGGGTCAGGGCAGCAGCAGCACCCCCCCCAGCCCCTTCATTCTCAGCCAGTGACTGCACGGCCCTCCTAGCCCCTTGCCCACCCCTGCTGCAGGCTGGGGAGGGCCCCTCCACTTCTACCGCACCATTTTGTAGTTTGGGGCTGGGTTGGGGTTTGCTCTTTTATATTTACATACAAAATTCGTCAAAAGAGGGGAGCTGGCCCAGCTTCTGCCCCCCCTGCCATCGTCCCTGGGATGGAGGGGGCTCAGGTTCCCAGGGCGAAACCCCAACCCCCCCAAAGCCTGGGCCTTCCCCATAGTGGGGCTGAGAACTTCTACCGCACCATTTTGTAGTTTGGGGCTGGGTTGGGGTTTGCTCTTTTATATTTACATACAAAATTCGTCAAAAGAGGGGAGCTGGCCCAGCTTCTGCCCCCCCTGCCATCGTCCCTGGGATGGAGGGGGCTCAGGTTCCCAGGGCGAAACCCCAACCCCCCCAAAGCCTGGGCCTTCCCCATAGTGGGGCTGAGACCTGGCAAAGCTGCTCGCGGCTGGGGAAGAGCACAGCAGCTGTCCCAGCCAGGCCCTCAGGGAGCACCATCGTCCCCATCGTCCCCATCCCCATCATCCCCACAGCGACAGCCCCCAGGGCTTAAGGAAAATCAGCTCAAATTTATTCTTATGCCTAAAGGCAGGTAAGGAACTGAGCGCTCTCAGGTTTGCCAGTTGTGACCAGCACGGCTCCATCACCTCAAAGCCCTTGCACAGCGGTGTCGTGTGGGCGGAGATCAAAGCAATGCAAGGACAGGGTCAGAGCGAACCCCCCAGATGATGACTTCGACCTTGCACCAAATAAATGATTCCTACCAGTTTCCGGGGAGTTTGTCTGTGTCAGGTTACCTTGCCATGAAATATTCCTGTGTGCCTGGGCAGCGGCACAGAGATGAGATGAGACAAGCCCACCCGGGGGAGTGCGGTGCCCGGGGGGTTTCAGGCTCCAGCACCGGCTGGGCTGGGCAGGAGAGGAACTGAAAATCCGCTATGGGGATGCTTCAGCAATGCCGGGATGGCCTCAGGGACCGGTGGGGATGGAGTCCAAGGGGGAGGATGGAGTCTGAGGGGGAAGCATCAGAGCCAGGCACCAGGGGGTAAAGGGGGTGGAGAAGCTTCCTCTACCTCACTCCTGCTCCAGGGCTGAGCGAGGGGGTCTGAGAGGCTGGGATGTGCACGGCAGGAGCCTGCCCCACATTGGGACTGAGCCCTGCAGGTCCCGGCACATCCCCACAGGTCCTGGCAGACCCCCAGCTCTGTCGAGGGAGGATGCCCACGCCGGGCTGTGGGGCTGGGCACTGTCTCCAGCTCACGTCTCCCCCAGCACGTAGCGGAGGATCCCGTTGACCACATCCAGCGTCTCGTCGCTCTCCAGAACAACGTCGTAGGCATCCAGGTACTTCCCCCGCTGCTCTTCCACCTGCGGAATGGGACAGGGTGGAGAGGAGGGGGCACAGAGTGGGGAGCATTATAAACACACCAGCTGCACCCACAGTCCCCACATCTCCTGATGCTACCGAAAAGTGGTCAATAACCACCCCAGAAACCCCTCAGCTGCACCAGGAGCTCAGCAGACGCCCCCAGCTCCCTCTGCACACCCCATGAGTGCTCATAGGAACCTCTCGTATCCCCCAGATCACACGGGCAGGGACACAAGAACAGCTCCCGGCACCCACCTTGTCATTGAGAAAGCCGATCTTGAGGATGTTCTCAACGCTGGGAACGCCGTCGGCCATCGTCAGGTCACCCATGGAGTCCCCCAGCAAGATGACGCTGGTCCTGGTGCTCAGCTGCTGGAAATACTCCGTACCCGCCAGGACGCTGTTGTTCTTGTTGTAGGTGTGGATGAGCGGCGCCTTGAACCGCCTGAGGACTCCCTGTGCACACAGGACAGAGAAAACGGCCCTGCAGCCACCCCTCGGCTGTGCTGCAGCCTTAGCACGCTTCTTGCAACAGGCAAACCGGGGGAGATGCTCACAGGGATGCTCTGACACCCCCGAGGAGTCTGGAAATCAACAGCCAGGAAATGGCCTGGGGAGCGTCCCCAGGAGCCCCCTTCTGCAGGGCGAGCCCTTCCCAAAGGATGGGGATCAAGGGACAAACCCAATGGATGCAGATCAAGGGACAAAGGTGGAGATCCCAGAGACCCTGGGCCGGGCTGCGCTGCCCCAGAGCTGTCAGGGACCATGGGAAGGTGAGAGCAGGGTCCCTGCAGAAGGCCAGGCTGTCACTGTCACCCTGTCACACTGTCCCGTCCCTGCAGGAACAGCCTGTCCCCACATGGCACCCGTGGGAACAGAGGGCTGCATTGTGAGAGATGGGCGATTTTGTGATGTGAATTGGGACTTTTCAGGCGTTGGTACACCAGCAAACAACCCCCCCTGAGCTGCTGTAAAGGACATTGGAGAGCTCTGTGGTTAACTCCATCTCCACCCTGCACCAGGACGGAGCACACAGCTCCCCCTTCTGCCTCCCCCACCAATGACCCAGCTCCCCATGAGTGCAGGGGGACCCCAACACCCCTATGCTGGTGGTCAGAGGCTGTTACAGTGGAGCATGTCACAAGCCCTGAGGGCAAAGGACGTGGGGCAGGAGGCTGCGACCAGGCTTCAGAGCCCTCCCTTGACCCAGCAAAGGGCCAGCTCCATCTGCAGGGACCGAGCACTTAGAAATATTAATAGGCAGCTTTTAATTAACAGCAGAGAGGCAGCGGTGTCTCTGTTAACTGCACTGCAGCCCCTGACTCCAGCCGAGCAGCTCTCCCCTCTGCCAGCTCCCCAGACGCGACACAGACTCACGTCGTCCCCGAAGTCCATGTAGTTGGACACCACGTTGACGTTGGGGTAGGAGACGTTGGCCTGGCGGATGATCTCCTCCAGGACGTCGCCAATGCCCGCAGAGAAGATGAAGAGGGGGACGTGGTGCTTGTGCAGCCGCTCGAACAGCTCCTTGAAGCCGTCCCTAGAGCAGAGGTGTCAGTTACACCACGCCGTGTCACCCTGGCAGCGCGGTGCCCGGTGTCAGCCACGCGGCTCCAATTCCTGCCCGGGACTCCCCATGCAGCACCACACGCAGAGCTCTGCGGAAAGCACGAGCCTTTTTGCAGCACCGGCACCTCCGTGGCCTTCGCTGTGTGCGCGAAGGGACCCTGAGCTGGTTTTAGGACCATCGCTGCCTTAACAGCAGGTTTTAGCACAGCGTTTCTGTGCTGTGAGCGATACTCAATGCTGAGCCAAGGGCCTGGGTAAGGCCCAGCAGTCACAGGAAGGATTTTTCTCTCGTTTGCTGTAAGAGGGGAGCTGCAAACAGCTGAGGGCTCCAAGGAGCCGCTCAGGGAGCTTTGCCCATTGGTCCCTGGCCGCTCCGTGAACGACAGCAGCACAGGCTGCAGTCATGGTGCTGAATTTTGGCTCTTTCACGATCAGAGCTTGGCCCCAGGAAGGGAGATTTGCATCTGCCACGCGTTGGGGACCGCACTGCTGAGCTGCAGGAGAGACAGGGCCACGGGCAGCCGGAGCCCAAGCCCGTACCTCAGCATCACGTCCGACTCCCTGACGATCTGGGCTATGTCACCCTGCTGGATCTTCTGCTGCACCAGCAGCTCGTGGGCCCTGGTCCACCTGCGGAGAGGCAGCAGTGACCCCGGGGCAGCGACATTACAGCCGTCAGAAAAATAACAACTACAACTTCCCAGAACTGCCGCCAAGCCCAGAGGCAGTTCAAGCCCTGTGTCTGGCAGCCCTCAGGGCAAGAAGGTGCCCAGATGTGGCCAAGCTGTCAATGTCATCACTCACCACTCCACCATGAGGGGACGCTTCTCCTCCAGGCTCCGGTTGGGATCGATTTCGATGGGGTAGTAGTGGTGCAGCAGCTCTTTCAGCTGGAGCGTTGCACAGATGGAGAAAGGAGAGAGCAAACATCACCTCTAAAGGGACCATAATCAGCGAAACCAGCATTTCTAGATTCCCTCAAAGCATCACACTTCTAATGAAAAGCACAACCAAGACCATTTCGCCGCTCTCGGAAGGAAGCATCACCACTCTGCAGCCCGGCTCTAGCCCTGCCTCAGGTACTGCAGGTACAGATGAGCACCCACAGCCCCTTCCCCTTCCTATCAGACCAAAAATGCTCCCAGCTGAGCACGCAAATTAAATTTCGTTTTTTAACTTCTCCTTCCGTCACCACTGGCTGAAATGCAGCCCAGGCTCTTGCCCCATAGCAGGGCACAGCTTTTGCCCATCACGACCTCCTGATGATGGGGGACAGGGATGAAACGCACAGAACCAAGCAGCAGCGCCTCACAAAACAGCACCCACCTTCTTCTTGCCACCCTCACTGATAACATGGCTGTTATCGAGGATATCTGTAAAGACAATAAAACACAACTGTTGTAGCTCAAACTCCCAAGAAAGCTTTTCAAAAGGCAGCTAACCTGGGCTCCAGCGCCAGCTCTTCCTGAAAACGCGCCGTGTGTGGCACATGGAGCCGAGCGCAGCTTCGCTGCGGGCTTGGAGCATGCAGGGATTACAGGGCACTGCTCAGCCAGGCCCACAGCATCAGCGAGCTGCAAGGAGCAGGAAAAAAACAGCGGCGGGTCCGGGAGAGCCCCAACAGGGGGACTGTGGGCTGCTGGGGGAAGCAGCTGCTGCTGCAAGGGGCCAGGGCCTGAAGCTGCATGGAGAGCAACCAGGATGGAGCAGCTGGGTTTGGCAAAGGAGGAAGGAGCACACTAAGAGCCACGGAGACCGGGAACACAAACACGGAGAGCAAACAGAAGCAGCGACAGTAAAACCGCAACTCACTGTACGACGTGGGGCAGCGCCTGCCGTTGCAGCCAAATTTTCTTAGCGTCATGTGTAAGGTCG